TCTGTTGAATCTCCCCCTGACTCCTCAGTATCAGCATCATCCTTGACCATCTCTCCCTTTATCAAACCACGGGATGCCGAAGGGCCTGTACCCGTGTTCTTTCTCTTCTTTCTGCGATGTAAAGAAACAACGATGGGAATTTAGAACTTCAGGGTTCGAACAAACATAACAAAGGGAAGAGAAAGAGAAGAGCGAAGATAATAATGAAGAAAGGAATTGCGGGTGAGAAGTGAAATAAAATCTGATTATGTATACCAACAAAACCAGTTACCAAAATCAAGAAGGTGAGAAAAAAGGTAAGGTATGGGAAGGGCGGTTTATAAGAACCAAATCCCTCCAAAAATTCAGATTCAAACACCATGTTCCTTTGCACAAATTCTATTTCCCATAATATTTCAAAATTTAAGTCAAGAAATCAGATTTCATTCCATCATACATTTCCACACAAATATCTAAGACCCATATTAACCCAATCTCATGAAGGAAATCACATGCAATATGCCTAAGGATGAATAAAATAAGACCGCACACAAATTCACTAGAATCAGTAAAATATTTTCCTTATCCTCTTAAGCAAGATTGATAAAAAATAATCAAGGACCGAAATTGTGATACAAACACAGCAAGGAATATACTATAAGCATATATAAATATATAATAATATACAATGTAGTGCAAACCGTAACTTCACTACAGTAAGAACACATGCCTTATTATTCATCGTGCGTTTCACTTAGTAGCAATCACTGTTATAGTGAAAGTCAACCCTATTACTTTGCAAAACGATTTTAAGCAAGGATCCCATGTTTTTTTTTATATATATATATGAATTGCACTACGTTTTTTATGAGTTTGACCACCTTATCACTCCAAGTAAAAACACCACACACAAATGTGCAGTACATGTCACTATCTTACGCCCTTCTCAACGTTTTTTGTCCTAGACGCTCTTTTCACAGTCGATCCCTTTGCGAAATGAACCATGTGCTAGCTATCGCTCTAGGTTATTTATGAGAATTCAACACTTTTTTGACAAAAAACAAAAAATACAGAAAATAAGTATGTTCCAAGTATGCAAGAACACAAAATCAATCCTAGACAATTAACATCGCACACGCTTTTAGAGGAGTCAAGACATCAATTACGATCTAGTGGTGAAGCAAATGTAAGATGCAAAAACATGCCTAATGCAATATACCCTATATGCTTACACACAATGCAATAGATAGTAATAATAATAATATACAATTTAATATAATATAATGCAAATTCACACAAGCAATCAGAGAGTGCATATCCCTAAGGATTTCTTTAGAGAAATGAATCGTTGGGAATCCAGTGCTTTGGTGAATATGTCAGCCAACTGGTTCTGTGTAGGAACATACTCAAGAACAATCAGTTCATTCTCAACCAATTCTAAGAAAGTGGTACCGTATGTCAATGTGTTTAGTTCTAGAGTGCTGAATCGGATTTTTGGAGATGTTAATAGCACTAGTGTAACGCCCCGTTCTCTTATGAATTATTTGAGATTATTTTTTTGTATTATTATTATTATTATCTTACTATTAATATTATTATTGTTATTATTGTAAATGCCTAATTGATTAATTGTCTATTAATATGTAAATAAATATTAATTGTTATTATGTTATTAAATGTGTAATATTGAATAATATTATTATGTGTCTAATTGTGTATTATTAATACAATAATAAAATGTGCTTATATATATATATATATATATATATATATATATATATATATATATATATCATTCGGATTAATTTAATATTCGTCACCAATCGAACGAAAATTCGTGTTGTCGCATTGCCTTATCGAGCCTTGAGTTATTTTTCGGGCCAATTGAAGACTTATTTTCCAGCCCAACATGTTTAATTTCTTTAGCCCAATTGGTTTTATTTATCTTTGGGCCTTTTTCACATTTATTTATACCTTAGCCCATTGAGAGATATTTGTGCTTGGCCAACAATAATTAAAGCACGCATCTTACCTTTCTCTTTCGCCTGGAGACGGTGATCTCCCCTTATCATCACCGTTCAAAAGTTTTGTTGCGATATTTTGGGAGATTCAGCCTCGCACTGTAATATCCCGTCAGTTTATCAGTATAAGTCATGTTTTTAGTTCCGATATATTAATATTGTCGACTATTAATTTTCGGAATTAAATTATTTCAGTCATTACAATCGAGATTACCGAAAATTATTTTCGACGTACCGTTTACGTTCGGAATAATTTTGGTAATTAAGCATTATATTTAATTAAATAATTAAACATGATTAAGTGATTAATTAGCAATTAATTACGTATTAAGGGAGTAAAGCCGTACCAAATGTCCAAATTGTTAATAAATGCCGTAACTAGTTTAAGTGGGCAATTTGGGAGAATTTAACCTTAATTTAGTTGCTTGAGGCGGCAAGTTTTAAGGGGATTAGTCATCCCTAAATCCTTGCATAATCTCCAAGTGTTAAGCTAAGATTTTGACACCAAATCACCTCATCATCTAAATCCCAATCGGTGCTAATATATATATGTTATGATTTGGAGAATTTGGCCTCAATTCTCCATATAGTTCAGCCTTTATATCATATATATATTAGAGAGAAAGTTGTGAGATTGAGAGGTTGAGGAGGAGAGCTTCATCGCACGCAAACACCGAGAGCATCACACGCTGCACCGCAAAGCACCCGCACGGCGACGCATCGCACGCGGAGAGCCACACGAACATGGGAGTCCGAAGTATTGCTATCAGTCGAGCATAATCGGAGGTAAATTCCGTGTGGTTGTAAGCTGAGATTATCATGTTCTTTAAGTTCAGCTTTCAGTTCAGGCTTGCATGCGTGTCGCGTATAGGTTCAGTCGTGCGAGTAGCCGTGTCGAGTAATGTTATATTTTAATTCGAATTCTCCAAACAAACTCGCATGTTTAGTAATTTTATGTAATATCATGTTCAGTTATGTGGTGTTGCTCGGAGTATGTTCATGTTTTGGCTCGGTAGTTAGGCCATGGGATGTGGTCGCGCATATAGCGCACCACGGGCCGTACGCATGTGTCAAGAATGTTGAGTTCAAGTTCCTTGAGCACTTTATGTTATTTTATTCATTAGATCATGTTTTATGTTCAGTCATGTATGATTTGTCGAGAGAAAAGTTAAGTTGGTCGAGAGACGGCCTAACGCCGTCGGCGGCGCACGGTGCGCTCGCCATGGCCATAATCGGTTTTGTCGTGCAACTTATATGATTTCAGGTATATTTCAGTGTTTGTGATTATGTTATGTCAGTTTAAGTCAAATTGCACGAGAGTTGTTGCCGGACGGCCGGCAAGGGGCCG